TCGGGTAGACACTGTCCTTAGATATACTACCGTAGGATAAGCCGCATACAGACTACTGTTGTCACACGTCGGCCATGTAAGTCTAGGTGAAGGATGGTGAAATATCGCTCGGTATATACGCTTTGCTTCTCAACTCCTCAAATTTATGCTAGCGAATACCGAACCCCATGCCGAATAATGCGGTCGTTCTTCAGCTAAAGAAGATTATGTCATAGATGATAAACGTAGGGTGGATCCACAGCGATCTTATCGCAATCGCACTAAGGTAAGCTGTCATTAATTGAGCCGACCACTGACGACTACGGTAGCTCCTGACCTCTTGAAGTAATGGTCAAAGGTGATAATCCAAGTGTTCTGTCTACGGCGATTGTGCTGCAACTGTCCTAAGGTAGGCTACTGTAGAATAAGCCGCTTAGTGACTACTGCGGTCGCTTGTTAGCTGTGGAAGCTTATGCTATGAATGGGGAGCGTAGCGGGCGTCTACGGCGATCGTTTCGCAACTGGCCAAAGGTATATTGTCATATATTGAGCTGCAGACCTACAACTGCGTGCATCCCTGACCTAAAAAAGTAATGATCATAATCGATAACCCAAAAGGTCGGTCCACATCGATCGTATCGTAAGTGTCGGAACGTATGCTATTCCGCATACAGACTACTTCGCTCGCACTTCAGATGTGGAAACGGGTATCAATGTTAGTGAGCATAGGATAAGTCTAAAGCGATCAATCCCCAACTGTCATAAGATATGCTGTCGCAGAATAAGCCGCAAACGGACAAATGTCGTAGCCCCTCAACAACGGATGCGAATGTGAAGGATGGCAATCCAATGGTCGGTCTAGAGCGATATTTTCTCAAGTCTACTAAATAATTCAAGGTTAGATTTAGCCCAAACCTCACTACTACTGTCACTCGTCAGCCGTGTAAGCTTAGGTCAAGGATGCTTAATCGTGGCTAGGTCTATGATAATCTAAGTGAAGCAACATGTGGACTGCAGGTCAGATGAAGTTGAGGTCGGATGGAACGACAAATATATAGGGTTATGACCTACTCAAATAGATATAGTAGGTGTTATTTCTAGGTATCGGATATGTAGGTGCCCTTTCTCCATTGTTGCCGTAACTAGAATTGAAAATCCACTCAGTGCCAAAGAACGGGAACAGGCCCATGTATACTCATAACAAGTAAGCGTGTGACCCTCACATTTGTGTTTATGATCTCACTATATCCCATTCTGTCCGCCAGCGTTGTGCCAATGGACACGTGCCGCATAAATAAGCAGCCCGCTGGGAGTGTTATTTTTTAGCCATTTGTTTTTTTCCAGGGAATGGGCGGATGAGCAGACCGTTGTATCGCAGCCAGAGCTAAGGTAGTTCATACGTCGGAACACCCCATTGTCCAGAATAAATATGCATGTCCCGAGGAAAGACAAAATGGAACAGAGTAAGACACCATGTTTGTGTACTCTGGGTGATCCGCAGGACCATGCCATGGCAGCATCGGTCGGTTTGTTGGCTAGTCGTTCTGCCTTAGTCACCGTACCATTGTTTTGTAGCATGGTGACGGTTGTGTTATTTGCGTTGCCAGCTTCTTCGTGGGTTTCCATGACACTTGACGTACGCTTGGCTGTCCTCAAGAAAGGCATTAGCTTTTCAGAGGTATTCGGCCCTTGTCTGCAGGTAGAGTGCAGCAAGATGCCTTGAGGATGCTGAAGGCAGACAGGGGTATCGTGTTTCTACTGGCAGACAAAATCTTGCAGCAGGTAAACCAAACATGTCACTTGATAACAGTGGACGCCGTCATCCGTGCCATGCCTACGGGGCTATTTTCCGCGCTTCACCCACTCACACACGTTAACCACACACGAACACACAGTATCTATTTCCCAAATGGTGTGCTTATTTGCTGTGGTTATAGAGGAGGGAGTTACGCCGGTTATGCTAAAGAGGTGATTTGCATACTAAAGTACATGTCAGCCAGACACGGGACTAAGTGCGCGAATACATGCAGTACTGCGTGGTGCGCGGTTGAGACTAAAGCGAGGTAGCCTTGCGTAGCGCCTACCTCATCCACACACGG